GGATCAGAGCTCGGTTACCAGAAATAGGGCCCAACAATCAGGGTCAGGGCTCAGTGATAAATACCAGGGTTCAGTGATCAAAAGTAGGACTGAGTGATTAGAATCAGGGCCCAGTGATCAGGACCAGGACTGGATGATCAGCACCAGGACTCAGAAGTCAAGAGCAGAGCCCATCGATCAGGACCGGGATTCAGGGACCAGAACCAGGGACCATTGGTCAGAACCAGAGCCCAGTGATTAGGAACAAGACCCAGTGATGAGGGCCAGGGCTTAGTGGTCAGGACCAAGATTCAGGGATAAGAACAGGACCCAGTGATCAGGACCAGGGCACAGTGATCAGGGCCAGAGCTCAAAAATCAGGACCAGTACCCAGTGATCAGGACCAGGGCTCAGTGATCATAACTAGGGCTCAGTGATAAGACCAGGACTGAGTGACTAGGACCAGGGCCCAGTGATCTGGTCCAGGGCCCAGTGATTAGGACCAGGGCTCAGTGATGAGGGCCAGAGCTCAATGATCAGGACCAGGACCCAGTGATCAGGACCAGGGCTCAGTGATTGACTATTGACTAGGACCAGAGCTCAGTTATTGAGTGTTGACTGGGACAAGGGCTCAGTGGTGAGGACCAGAGCATAGTTAGCAGGACCAGGGCCCAGTGATCAGGGCCAGGGCTCATTGATCCAGAACATTGCCCAGAGATCAGGATCAAGACTCAGCAATCCAGCCAGGACTGAGTTATTAGGACCAGAGCCTAGTGATCCAGACCAGGGCTCAGTGATCATGACCAGGGCCCAGTGATCAGGACCAGAATTGAGTGATCAAGTCTAGGACTCAGGGATCAGGACCAAGACTGAGTGATCAGGACCAAGACTCAGTAATCAGGACCAGGGCTCAGGAGTAAGGACCAGAGCACAGTTAGCATGACCAGGGCCCAGTGATCAGAAACAAGGCCCTTTGATCAGGGCCAGGGTTCATTGATCAGGAGCAGGGTTCAGTGATTAGAATCAGGGCTCAGTAATCAGGACCAGGGCCCAGTGACCAGGATCAGGGTCTAATAATCAGGACCAGGGCTGAGTGATCAGGTCTAGGGCTGAGTGATGAGGACCAGGATGGAGTGATCAGGACCAGTGCTGTGTGATCTGGACCAGGACTGAGTGATCAGGACCAGTGCTGTGTGATCTGGACCAGGGCTGAGTGACCAGGACCAGGGCTGAGTGATCAGGACTAGGGCTGAGTCACCAGGAACAGGGCTGAGTGATGAGGACCAGGGCTGAGTGACCAGGACCAGGGCTGTGTGATCTGGACCAGGGCTGAGTGACCAGGGCTGAGTGACCAGGACCAGGGCTGAGTGATCAGGTCCAGGGTCAAAAACAGGAGTAGGACTCAGTGATCAGGACTAAGGCTCAGTGATCAAGGCTAGAATTGAGTGATCAGGAACAGGGCCCAAGTAGTAGGACCAGAGCTCAGTGATCGGTAAAAGGGCCCACTGGTCAGGACCAGGGCCTTATGATCAGGATGAGGACTTAGTGAGGAGGACTAGGGCTATCTAGGTTATGGGGAACAGGGATCCCACATAGTTATTGGGAGCAGGCTTCTTTGCCATGGTCTCTGGTGAATCCAGCATTCATCCTTGGGCCCCAGCCTCATGCAAGATCAGGTTGTTTCTTGATTTTGGGACTAGGGGTACCCTCTGTCCATGCCCACCATGACCACCATGACACCCAGGGGGACTTTGAAGCAGGCGTCCTCCGGTCTAAAGCCACCACCCTTTCCCTGACCCCCATCTCCTCATTCAGAGTCCGTGAACATTTTCCTTGGGACCACTTTATTGCACCTGGAAGGGATGTGAGTAAGGGCGGGTAGGTGATTTCTGAAAGGGCTGAGTTCTGGCAAGCATAGCTGGCTTCTCCAAGAGGTTCCTCCATACTTCCTCCCTGCAAAGACAGAGGGGTCACAGCCTGAAGGAGCAGCACCCTTGCCAATGCCCTCTGTCCTAGCCCTGGCCTGGCTCATGGGAGCCTGGACGGAATCCTGGTTACCGTACTGGAGGGAAGCTCAGCCCTGACGCTAGGCCTGCCTGTGTCCTCAGTGTCTGTGAAGGGCCCCCCAGGAGAGCACGTGCCCCCACAGTGGGAGCAGGTGGTGCTCTCCTCACAGCCAAGCACTGCAGCCCACCCCGTCCACTGTGGGCTCATCCCTCTCCTGGGCTCCTACCTGTGCCTTGCTGGCTCTCGCTCAGTACTGGGGGCCCTCCCTGTTGCCAGATGGACCCCGGACGCTGGTCACGGTCAGTGCTGTGCTATAGAACAGGCTCAGCAGGAAGAGGGTGAGGAAGGTGATGGTGGTGGGCCACAGGTTGGCACCAGGGGTCTCCTCCTCCAGGGTCTCCTGCGGCAAGTCCAGCACCACATAGGGAGGCAGCATCTGCCAATCTGTAACACAGCAAGAGCCTTCCAGGCCCAGACTCATGTGAATAGTGGGTATGCTTCCTTGGGGTCTGGGGACAGTGGGGTCTGGGTCCCCATCTAAGGCCTGAGACTCCCCCAGGGAGGATGAGGAGGCAGGGTCCCAGGTGAGGGGCTGGGACTTTCTGTCTTTGAGGTTCTTAGGGCACTTCAGGGAGAGACTCAGCAGGGCAGAAAGTGGACACCATCTGCTTCTCCAAGGGTAGTTTGAGCCCAAGGTACCCTCCCACCCCCCCGGCCCCCCACTCCCACCCCATCTCAATCCCAGCCACGTATTCAGTGACTGGGTCCTGGGGCCAGAGAGGACCAGATACACCCACCCTCAGGGATATCTGGATCCAAGACGGAGACCTGGGTCTGACATTCAGTGTGCCAAAGATTGAATGGGCAAGACCAGAGGCCTCTGTTGCCTTCCCAGGGAATGTGGCTGAGGGGTTACAAGGGAGGGCCAGGTGAGGGCTACCAGCACGGGCATTCTTATTTTCCTCAGGGTCTCAGGGCATAGACCTCCCTCGTACAGCTGTACCTGTTTGTCACATGCTGATACATCCAGTCATTCACCTATCTTTCTATCCTTCCGTCCATCTATCCATCCATCCATCTACAGAGCTATTATCTGTATATCCACCCCTCCATCGATAACACTCTTACCCACTCACCCATCCATTCATCCTCCATTCATCTATTAATATAAGGCTATCATTTAAATATCCACCCATGTATCTATAAAGCTATTTTCCATCCATTCATCCTTCTTCCATCCATCCATCCATCCATCCACCCATCCATCTATAAAGCTATTTTCCATCCATTCACTCATCCATCCATAAAGCAATTCTCCATCCATTTATCTTCCATCCACCTATCCTCCATAGATCTACCCACCCACCCATCTATCCTCAATCCTCCATCCATCCACCCATCCTCCATTCACCCCTCCATCTATCTTCCGTCCTCCATCCACCCATCCATCCTCCATCTGCCCACCCATCCATCATCCATCCATCCATCCATTCATCTCCCATCCTTCATTCATCCACTCATTCATTCTCCATCCACCCGTCCACCTATCCTTCATCCATCCATCCATCATATATCCATCCGTCCACCCTCCATCAGCCATTTACCCACCCGTCCATGTTACCACCCATCCATCCTCCATCTACCAATCCATCCGCCCATCCATTCATTATATGTCCTAGGATCTACCTATGTGTCTGCCTGATCTCTGTCTGCTGGTTCAGCCCCTCATCTATTGATTCTCCCTCTTTCCCTGTCTCTTTAAAAGCCCCTCCTCTGGGCCAGGTCCTGGGTCCCATGGGCTGGAAGGCTTCTCTGTGGCAGGGCTTCCTTGGGTGACCTGTTGCTCTCACCCTCTGGTGACTGGACCCTCAAGGGTGACAGTAACCTCCACCTCACCTTGGCCCTGAGAGCAGAGGGAGGCAGCCAGAAGGCGGGGGCCCCTGGGGAGGCCCGGAAGATGTCTAAGGCAAGAGCAGGGGCCCCACTGCCCCCTTGTGGGAGTCCTGGTGCCAGGTGTCCCCACAGTGGTTGTGGCACAGTTCTTCCACTCCTGGGAGCCCCAAGCAGAAGCCAGAGACAGGCAGAGGGGCCCTGGGCAGGCCCTGTTTCACTGGCCTGCTTCTGATGCTACCCCACGCAGCCCCTCCCTGTCTATGCTTAGGGTCCTAGTTGGGCTTAGGAAGGGATGGGAGACTTGGCCAGGCAGGGAGCAGGGGCTGCCTGGGAGGGGGTCTGTGGAGTTGGTCCCTGAGCTGTGCACAATGGAAACACAGGGAGGCCAGAGGGGCCTGGGGCAGCAGGCTGAGCCTGGGAATGCCCGCTGGGGGCTTGGGAGGGGACTCCCCTGGCTTTTCTGGAGCTGGGTCTGGGCTGTGAATGTTCTGCTCCTGCAGGGCTCAGGCGTATATGTGGGTGTGAGTGTGCACGTGTGTCCGTGTGCCCCGTACAGAGCAGTGTGGTTAAGGGGAGGTGCCCCTTTCTGGATGCGTCAGTGGGGACATCCTGAGGCCCACCTACTAGGGTGGTGGGGCCCTCCTGGAGCTTGTCCTCCCAGGGGGGCCCTGGAGTCCAGCCCCTCACTCCCTCGCTGCTCCTCCCGCTACCTGCCTGTTTCTCGGCCAGCCTGCTCTTCTCACACTCTCTATTCCCTCCCAGCTGCAGCTCTCTCAGGGACAAACGGCCATGCCGCTGCCCACTCAGAACTCTCCGGGGCATGTGCGTCTCTCAGAACCCACCCTGGGCGGTGCCTGCCTCGGCAGACCTAAGATTTCACACCAGCGAGGCCTCCTGCACCACACACTCTCACACTCACAACTCACACTCACACCAGGGTGGAAAGGCTCACGGGGGTGCCAGGGCCCCCCGAGGCTCAGGTCAGGGGTGTTCTTCCCTCTCCGTGCCCTGGCCCTTTCCCACGTGCTGAGACCCTGAGGATGGACAGAGGCGCCGGATGGAAGCGTGGGGCTGCTTGGGGGAGCATGGAGTTTATTCAGGGGTGGGGACAGGCGGGCGGCTCAGTAGCAGGTGCCGTCCACTTCCGCCATGACCACAGACACATTGACGTGGGTGGGTTTACCCGCCAGGCGGTCGATGGTCTTCTGTGTGAAGGCCAGCGGCAGGGCCTCGTGGCCCACCATGCAGGAGAAGGTGTCCCCCTTCTTCCAGTCCTCGGCTGCCACGCGAAGTATGCTGGTCACGGCGAAGGTGGTGGTGCCCTGGCTGGGCTCCTTCCGGGATTCCCAAGTCAGGTACTTGTCACGGGGCAGCTGTTCTGTTCCCTTCAGCCAGCGAATCAGCACGTCCTCGGGGCTGAAGCCGCGTGCCAGGCACGTCAGCGTCACCAGCTCGTTCAGGGCCAGCTCCTCCGACGGCGGCGGCAGCAGGTGGACCTCGGGCCGGAATGTGTTTCCTGGAGGTAGAGAGCCAGGTCAGGGGGCTGTGCAGGGGATGAGAGAGCCTCTATTGCTCTGGTGGGCACCCCGGGCTGTGTCCTGGCCCCCTCAGCCTGCCTCAGTTTCCCCCTGCACTTGGCATGAGCACCCAAGCCCAGGACCGGGAGGGAGGAGGCAGGCCGGGAATATGCTTTGCAAACCAGAGCCCCGAGCAGGGTCTGGACCCACCGGATTTTGAGATGGTGGCGGTTAGCGGGGTCTCCAACTCAGGGTGATCAGCAGTGCAGGTGAAGGTCTCCCTATTGTTCCATGGCTCGGCACAGCCGGGCAGGACACTGGACACACTGTAGCAGCCACAGGGGTCACGCTTAGGTGACTGTTGGACAGCGTTCTTCCCACTTGAGGGCGTCCAGGTGAAGGTGGCACCCGAGGGATCTTTCAGGCCTGTCAGTGTGCACGTGAGGTTCGCTTCTGAACCTAGGAGCAGGTCCTCGAGGGCCGGCCGGCGCAGCGACAGTCGGGGCTCGCAGCATGAGGGACATGGGGGTGTGATTGGGGGAACTGCAGTGGAGAGATGGCCTGAACTGGTCAGCACGCCCTTCCCCATGCCCCCGCCTTGCCCCTCCTGGCCTGTCTACCACCACCTCCTGGGGCTCGGCCCGCAGTCCACTCTGGTGTGAGTGAAGGGGCGGCTCCCTGTGGGGAACACAGGTCCAGGCGCAGTGTCAGGGCAGGCTGGGGTGGCCCCGCCCCACTCCCCAGCCTGCCCTCTAACCGCAGGGCACAGCCACATCCTGGCTGGGATTTGTGTAGTGCTCCACGTGGCATGTCACGGACTCGCTGGCTGGGCACTGTGCGGCCGGCAGGGTCAGCTGGCTGCTCGTGGTGTACAGGCCGCCAGAGGCGTCCTGGCTGGGCGGGAAGTTTATGACAGTCACGTCCGCTCCACTTTTGCTCCAGGTCACGTTGAGTGGCTCCTGGGGGAAGAAGCCCTGGACCAGGCAGGCGACGACCACGTTATCTGACTGGGTGCTGCAGAGGTTCAGCGGGAAGACCTTGGGTCTGGTCGGGGATGCTGGAACACAGAATGCGCTGTGAGGACGTGGCCCTCATGCTGGGTCCCCAGGAGGACAGGCTGCGCCTGCCTCTCCTCTACACTGGAGGAACCCAGCACAGAGAGGCCTGGTGACGGCCCCAAGGTCACACAGCTCCTGCACCACAGGCCTGCATTTGGACCTGGCTGTCTGATCCCAGCGACACGGTTTCTGAACATGCTCCTCAGATAGGGCCTCTGACCCAGGCCGTCCTAGACACAAGTTGTATTAAACAGGGCTCTGCTATGGAGTGGCCGAGTCCCCTGAGCTCCCTGACTGCAGCTCCTGCTCTGGGTGGGGGACATATCTTGCTCTCTCCCTTGAAGCTAGAGAGGATCTTGGCGGGGGCTCTGAGGAGGTAGCCTGGGCTTTGAGTGCTGTGTGCTTGGGGTAGGGGTGGGACGGCTTGGCTGTGACCCCACCTCCCTGTCCCCAGTCAGGGTCTCAGTCCAACACCCACCACTCCACGAGCCCCATCCCAGGCCCAAACAAGCCACAGTGGACCCCTGCGGCCTATGAGGTCTCAGGACCAGAGGCCAACAGGCTAAGCCATGTCCCCACCAGGCCCTCCAGGGCAGGGCCTGCTACACCGGGGAGTTCTGGGCCGAGCCCGTTCCAAATTTCCTTCAGGCAATGGGCAAGAGGAAAGACAGAATCATGGTGCAACAGAGCTGCATGGCCCTCAGAACCCCTAAGAACACAGCTGCATGGCCCTCAGAAACCTAAGAACACAGCTGGGCTCAGGGCTCTGCAGGTGGAGTCACACTCAACCCACAGCCTCCTTCCCACATTAGCAGCCACCTCAGCCCATCCAGCCCAGCCCAGGCCAGTCCAGCTCAGTCCAGTCCAGTCCAGCCCAAGTCAGCCTAGCTCAGCTCAGCCCAGCTCAACCCAGGTCAGCCCAGCTCAACCCAGGTCAGCCTAGCCCAGGACAGCCTAGCTCCAGCTACTAGCCTAGCTCAGTACAGCTCAGCTCAGCTCAGCCCAGCCCAGCCCAGTCTAACCCAGTCCAGCCCAACCCAGCTCAGCTGAGCTCAGCCAAACCCAGTCAGTTCAACCCAGCTCAGCTCAGCCCAGCTCAGTCCAGCCCAGTCTAGCTCACCCCAGCCTGGTTCCAGGTCAACCCAACCCAGCTCAGCCCAGCCCAGCTCAGCTCAGCTTAGCCCAGCCCAGCTCAGTCCACCTAAGCTCACCCAGCTCAGCCCAGTCCAGCCCAGCCCAGCCCAGTCCACCTAAGCTCACCCAGCCCAGCCCAGCCCAGCCCAGCCCAGCCCAGCCCAGCCCAGCCCAGCCAGCCAGCTCAGCCCAGCCACCCAGCCCAGCCCAGCCCAGCCAGCTCAGCTCAGCCAGCCCACCCAGCCCAGCCCAGCTACAGCTCAGCCCAGCCCAGCCCAGCCCAGCCCAGCCCAGCCCAGCCCAGCCCAGCCCAGCCCAGCCCAGCTCAGCTCAGCCCAGCCCAACCCAGCCCAGCCCAGCTGAAACCAGCCTAGCTCAGCTCAGCTCAGCCCAGCCCAGCTTAGCTCAGTCCACCTAAGCTCACCCAGCTCAGCCCAGTCCAGCTCAGTCCAGCTCAGCCCAGCCCAGCCCAGCCCAGCCCAGCCCAGCCCAGCCCAATCCAGCCCAGCCCAGCCCAATCCAGCCCAGCCCAGCCCAGCCCAGCCCAACCCAGCCCAGCCCAGCCCAGCCCAGCCCAGCCCAGCTCAGCTCAGCTCAGCCCAGCCCAGCCCAGCCCACCTCAGTCCACCTACACTAACCCAGCTCAGCTCAGCTCAGCTCAGCTCAGCCCAGCCCAGCCCAGCTCAGTCCACCTACGCTAACCCAGCTCAGCTCAGCTCAGCTCAGACCAGCCCAGCTCAGTCCACCTACGCTAACCCAGCTCAGCTCAGCTCAGCTCAGAACAGCCCAGCTCAGTCTACCTAAGCTCACCCAGCTCAGCCCAGTCCAGCTCAGCTCAGCTCAGCCCAGCCCAGCCCAGCCCAGCCCAGCTCAGCCCAGTCTAGCTCAGCCCAACCCAGCTCAGCACAGTCCAGGTCAGTCTAGCTTAGCCCAGCCCGGCCCAGTCCAGCTTAGCTCAGCTCAGACCGACTCAGCCCAGCTCAGCTCAGCCCAGCCCAGCCCAGCCCAGCCCAGCCCAGCTCAGCCCAGCCCAGCCCCACCGGGTCCAGCTCAACCCAGCCCAAGCTTAGCCCAGCCCAGCCCAGCTTAGCCTAGCCCAGCTGAACCTGGCTCAGCCCAGGTCAACCCAACCCAGCTCAGCTCAGTCTAGCTCAGCCCAGCCCAGCTCAGCCCAGTGTAGCCCAGCTTAGCCTAGCTCAGCTCAGGTCAGCCCAGTCCAGCTCAGTCCACCTAAGCTCACCCAGCCCAGCCCAGCCCAGCCCAGCCCAGCTCAGCCCAGCCCAGCTTAGCCTAGCCCAGCTGAACCCAGCTCAACCCAGGTCAACCCAAACCAACCCAGCTCTGCTAAGTCTAGCTCAGCCCAGCCCAGCTCAGCCCAGTTCAGTCCAATCCAGCCCAGTTCAGCTCAGCCCAACCCAGCTCGGTCCAGCCCAGCCCAGCTTAGCCTAGCCCAGCTGAACCCAGCTCAGCCCAGGTCAACCCAACCCAGTTCAGCTCAGCCTGGGTCAACTCAACCCAGCCCAGCTCAGCCCAGTCTAGCTCAGCCCAGCCCAGCTCAGCACAGTCCAGGTCAGTCTAGCTCAGCTCAGCCTAGCTCAGTCCAGCCTAGTCCAGCCTAGCTCAGTCCAGCCTAGTCCAGCCCAGTCCAGCCCAGCCCAGCCCAGCCCCGCCGGGTCCAGCTCAACTCAGCTCAGCTCAGCCCAGCCCAGCCAAGCCCAGCCCAGCCCAACTCAGCCTACCCCAGCGTAGCCCAGCCCAGCTCAGCTCAGCCCAACCCAGCCCAAGCTCAGCCCAGCCCAGCTTAGCCTAGCCGAACTGAACCCAGCTCAACCCAGATCAACCCAACCCAACCCAGCTCAGTCCAGCCCAGTTCGGCCCAGTGTAGCTCAGCTTAGCCTAGCTCAGCCCAGCCCAGCTCAGCCCAGCCCAGCCCATCCCAGCTCAGCCCAGCCCAGCCCAGCCCAGCTCAGCCCAGCCCAGCCCAGCCCAGCTCAGCCCAGCCCAGCCCAGCTCAGCCTAGCCCAGTCCAGCCCAGCGTAGCTCACCCCAGCCTGGTTCAGCTCAGCTCAGCTCAGCCCATCCCAGTCCAGCTCAGCTCAGCCCAGCCCAGCTCAACCCAGCTCAGCTCAGCCTAGCCCAGCCTAGCTTAGCCCAGCCTAGCTCACCCCAGCCTGGCTCAGCCCAGCCCAGCCTAGCTCAGCCCAGCCTAGCTCACCCCAGCCGGGTTCAGCCCAGCCCATCCCAGTCCAGCTCAGCTCAGCCCAGCCCAGCTCAGCCCAGCCCAGCTCAGCCCAGCCCAGCTCAACCCAGCTCAGCTCAGCCCAGCCCAGCCTAGCTCAGCCCAGCCTGGTCCAGTTCAGCCTGGCTCAGCTCAGCCCAGCTCAGCTCAGCTCAGCCCAGCTCAGCTCAACTCAGCTCAGCTCAACTCAGCCCAGCTCAGCCCAGCCCAGCTCAGCCCAGCAGCTCAGCCCAGCCCAGCCCAACTCAGCTCAGCTCAGCTCAGCTCAGCCCAGCTCAGCCCAGCTTAGTCCACCAGCTCCCAGCCCAGCCCAGCCCAGCCCAGCCCAGCCCAGCCCAGCCCAGCCCAGCCCAGCCCAGCTCAGCCCAGCCCAGCCCAGCCCAGCCCAGCCAGCCCAGGCCAGCCTCAGCTCAGCCCAGCCTAGCTTAGCACAGCCCAGGTCAGCCTAGCTCAGCCCAGCCCAGCCCAGCCCAGCCCAGTCCAGCTCAGCCCAGCCCAGTCCAGCTCAGCTCAGCCTGACTCAGCCCAGCTCAGCTCAGCCCAGCCCAGCCCAGTCCAGCCCAGTCCAGCCCAGCCCAACCCAGCCTGGTCCAGTCCAGCTCAGCCCAGCTCAGCCTCAGCCCAGCTCAGCCTCAGCCCAGCCTAGCTCAGCCCAGCCCAGCCCAGTCCAGCCCAGCCCAGCCCAGCTCAGCCCAGCCCAACCCAGCTCAGCCCCAGCCCAGCCTCAGCCAGTCCAGCTCAGCCCAGCCCAGCTCAGCCCAGCCTCAGCTCAGCTCAGCCTAGCCCAGCTCAGCCCAGTTCAGCTCAGCCCCGTCCAACCCAGCCTAGCCCAGCCCAGGGCAGCCCACATGGACGTGTATCAACTGGCTCCAGGTCATCTTCTCCTCTGCCCTCTGGCTCGGCTCAGCCTAGGCCTCAGCTCAGCCATGAAAGCTGTTCACCTTGTATCCCAGGAAGGGCTGGGTCATCCCAGTTTAGGCCTGGCCAGCCTGGCTTAGCCCCAGTGCCCAGATCCTTCCTGCCCGGTTAGGAAGTCCTGTCCTGTGGTTCCAGAGTCTCTGTGGTGGCCTCTTTTGTCCTTCCCTCTTATCTTGGTGCCTGTTATCCACCTTTTGCTTCCAGAAGGGGCCAGGACCAGCCTGGCTGGACTCTTCAATGTGCGGAGGAGGAGATGCAGGCCTGGAGACCTCCAAGACCTACCTGGTCAGGCTGTTGGAGGACCCACCGGGCTGAGTGGGTGGCCTCCGGTGTGCAGGCCGTCATGGCAGGTGCACCCTCACAGGCGTGTGGCGAAGAGGGGCTGCTGTGGGGAGGGTGCCCAGGCCCGGCCCAGGCCCTGCCCTGATGGCCGTCTGTCCTTAGCAGACCCCTGCTCCGCCGCTCTGCCTGTGTCCACAGATGCGGCTGGATGCTGAGGGGCTGGAGGGGAGGGCCTGCATGCCTGTATGTCTGGCCTACAGACGGGGTCACTCGCCCACTTCCTGCCCCAGCAGACACGGCCGTGCGGCTCCACGTCATGTCTGGTCTGTGGTCTGGCTGTGGTGGGGCCAGGTGTGTATGGCCAGGGCTCTGTGACCCCACCGGCCATGGAGCTTCACGGATCCACATGGCTCCACAGGGTGGGGTGGGGGCCACAATTCAGGGAAACAGGAACAGACACGGTTGGAGGCTCAGAGACCCTGAGACAGAGATGGCAAGGGGAGACACAGGGCCAGAGAGGGTCCCCCACCGCCTGCAGGGGAAGGGCGCCTGTGAGTGGACCCCCGGTGAGGGGCCTTGGGGCCCCAGGGTGGGCATCCGGCTGGGGAGAGTGAGTCTTGTGCTGCTGGGTTGGAGCCACTCCGGCCTGGCCTCCCTCAGCCTGCCCCACGGGCCATGGGGGGTCCCAGACTGCAGCCCAGGGTGGGGGCATGGGGGGCACCCCGTCTCCTAGCTGCAGCCCTGCAGGTCAGGTTGGCCAAGGTGCCTGCTCTACCCTGTCCAGCGCTGCCCAGGTGGCACTCCTACTGTGGATCACTGGGGAGCCGGCCGTGGCGTTGGAGAGATCCCGCCAGTGACGCTGGTCCTGGAGTCAGGGGAGGCCAGCTCTTTCTGGGGGCTCAGGTGGCACTGGCAATGGGAGGCCAGGGGTGCTTCACAGAGGAGCTGCTGCCGCGGAGTCCTGGAAAGTGTGGGCGTGAATGGAAGATGCCCTGGCCATGGCGCCGGGCCGCCCCGGTGGAGGCTATCCGGTGAAATCCAGGGAGTGTCAGTGAGGCCGGATCAGGGCAGGTGGGGGGCAGAGGAGGAGGGAGGTAGCCTGGGGCTGCCCCAGGGTCCTGGGAAGACACATCCTGGCGGTTCAAGGAAGCTCTGGAGCTTTTATGAACCTTGGGATGCCTCAGCCCTCACCAGCGGGACGTGGCTGCTGTGTCTTAGTCATTTCTGGCTGCAATAACAAAAATACCATAGACGGGTGGGTTCATCAGCAACATTCATTTCTCACAGTTCTCGAAGCTGGAAGTTCAACGTCAGGATGGCAGCAGGGTCAAGTTCCAGTAAGGGCCGCTTCCTGGTTCACAGACCCCCGTCTTTTCGCTGTGTCCTCGGGTGGCGGAAAGAGGGCAGGGCTGCTGTCTGCGGTCCCTTTTCTTTAGGGTCTCTAGTGAGATTAGGGAACGAATCACATTTTTGAGAGTTCCCCCATCAGGCTCTAACCACCTCCCCAAGGCCCCAGCTCTGCATGCTCTCACTCTGGGATTAGGGCTGTCACACATGAGTTTTGGGCAGATACAGACGCTCAGTCCATAGCACCGCCCCTGTCGGCCTCTGCCTCTCCCCATCCCTGTGTCTCCTCGTCTGTCTCCAGCTAGGACACTTGTCCTTGAACCTAGCCTCCTTGATAATCCAGGGTGCCCTCATCTCGAAATCCTTACCTTGATGGGATCTGCAAAGGCCCTTTTGACAAATAATGCTGCACTCAATGGCCCCAGGGGCCAGGATGTGGCTCTATCTTTTGGGGTCCATGGTTGTACCCACCGGTGGGTTAATAGGGGAATAAAGAGGGGGATGGAGGAACCCGGAGACGGCATCCTCTTGCTTCCAGGAGGCCAGGCCATGTGGAAGGCAGGGGCGCTATTCTGAGCCTGGGTGTGAATCCAGGCCTCTGCCCTCCCCACGGGCCCCGTCTGTCTCCTCTACGTGGGTGCTCATCTCGCCTTCCTCTCAGGCCTTTGAGGGGGAGTTTTCTGTGTGAGGATATCTGCCACACAGTGGGGCAGTGAGCTGGCTCCTTGTTGCCCTTGCTGTGGGGCCACGGGGGTCTCGTGATCTAGAGTGAGGGCAGAGAAAGGAGTCACTGAGCCCTGCCCGCTGGAGGGGCTCCCGGTCCAGGGGACCTTGGCTGCGGAGGGCCGGTCTGCTGTAGGAGACATGGGTGTGCGAGACCCTGGGCTGGTGATGGGGTAGACTGAGGGCCTGGCTTCCTGAGACTGTGTGAGTGTGGGTGTGAGCACGCCTGAGCATGTCAGTGTGTGTTTGTGAGTGCATGATTGGTGTGTGAGTGCAAATGTGTAGGAGAGGTTGAGTCTGTGTGAACCTGTGTGTGTTTTTGCATGTGCGAGTGTGTGCCTGTGTGTGTGTCTGTGAACGAGGGAGTGTGTGAGGAGAGCTGGGCAGTGGCTGTGGCCTTGGCCATGTCCTGTGACGCCCCCTCCTCTGGTGTTGTTTGGACCCAGTCGGCCTCAGCACTGCCTACTTTGGAGTTTTCTACCCCATAGGGAGCTGTCGCTCCTCACCTTCTCCCCTGTGCCCAGCTGCTCTGAGGTCCCAGTGGAGGACAGGGCGGGGGACCCAAGTGCTGCTGTCAGACTGTGGCAGGCTTGCTTCATTCCGTTTTGTGCCAGACTCCATGTGATGTGGGTCTCCTGGCACAGAGCGAGGCTCTCCCTGTGGGGCCATCACTGTGAGAGAACTCTCTTGCATTGGGGCATTTTGCCAACTTGCCCTAAAAAGTGGTCTTAGCAATTCACGTGCCCTCAGTCAGGGCCAAGAAGCACCTCCACCCTCTTCATCCCTTCCTCCTTACTTTCACTTTTCTAATTGTTAAAATGGGTTCTTTGTATTATCGGCCACTGAGTTTTTCCTTTCCATGAAGAACCTATTGCTCACCTTTCTTCTTATTGATCCCTGAGTGCTCTTTGTATATGAGGGAACCCTGACCTTTGTCATGCCTATTGTGTATTCTCTCCCATTTTTAGGATATTGTGGACACCCTTGTAAGCAGGCCTCTCCAGCCAGGGAAGCTGCATGTTTGCCCTGAGGCCAGGTATGGGTCATGCCCACCTGTGACCCTGATGGTTCTGGGGCCCTAGCCTGCTCCTGTGTCATCTCTCAGCTCTTCAGGAGGTCCAGGCTGGTGGGCGGCTGTGGGATGGGGAGTCAACTTTGTCTGTGCTCAGTGGGTGGTGGATCAGGGCGTGTGGCCAGTGGTCCTGGGGGCCGCCACCAGCCTCCACCTTGGTGACTGTGCAGCCACATTCTTGGGGCCTCCTGCGCTGACCACAGCATGGGCCCCTCTTCTGGTTTTGCCCACAAAGGGGTTGATGTTGATTGTTGCTTTGACTTTACCTGAGAAGAGGCATGATTCTGGGCTGGAGACCAGCAGACCAGGCATGACAGGCCGAGCTGGGGAGTCTCTGGGGTGCTGAGGGGTGATTGATGGGAACCACTGCTTGGACACTTTGGCTCTCAGGACCCCAGAATGGCCCCTGCCCTTCCTTCCCCTCTGGCTCCTCCTTCACATCCTCAGGGGTCCTGCCTCCCACCAGCCACTCCAGGGCCACAGACACCTCCCAAAGAGCACTCTGGAGACGTGGGATTTGTGAAAAGGAACTTTACTAGGAAACCAGAGGGAAAGAAATAGGACTGCTGAAGCCAGAGGCTGGACGAGGTCACAGGGATGAGGGCAGCAGCGCTGTCCCTGCAGGAAACCCCTCCTCTGGCTGTGGGAGCCCCTCTACCCACTCCAGGGTCCGAAGTCCCCAGCAGTCCTGTGGCCTGGCCTCAGAGGGCTTCCCTGTTCCTTCACGCTGCAGGGATGGGGGCTGTGGATGGATGGAGGGGTGGGTGAAGGGAAAGAGGGTGGGTGAGGCCTGGGGGACGGGGATGCCAGGCACTTGGACCTCAGGGGTAGAAGGGTCAGAGCAAGGCTGGGGAGTGAGGCCGTGGGCTGGCGTTGGGCTGGACGCAGACTCAGAGTGAGGCCGTGGGCTGGCGTTGGGCTGGACGCAGACTCAGCTGTGTCCTGGGCTGGGTGCTGGGCCCTCCTTGGCTTTTGGTGATTGTACAGTCAGAATGGGAGTGACCCTGAGACCCAGGGGCCTGGGATGAGCTCAGAACGGCTAGCAGCCACCCCCTCCTCGATGACTCCGTTGAAGGGACGGACACTGTTTTGGGGTGGGGGCTGCGACTGGTGGTTCTGTCCGAACCTTTAACCTTGCGGCTGAGCGGGCCCCTCTGGGCTCAGATTCACTGGCCATCAGCCCACAGTAGTGACCTTGCACCCCCTTTTCTTGTCTGCTTCCCTTTTCCCACCCAGGGCAGGGCACAGCCCGAGGGAGGCTCGGGTGCCGGCAGAGAAGCAGCTACGCCTGGTGGAGCGCGAGTGGCCCGTGGCCTAGGCGTGGGGCTGGAGGATGTTGGTGTAGTCGAGGGAGGTCTGGGGCCTCCCCTGCCGCGTGGCTGAGAGGAACCGCTGCACCTGAGGGGAGGGCGTGGGTCAGGGCGCTCTGCTGGCTCTGCCCAGCCCCCTGCCCTGGCCTGGCCCCTGGAGGTGGGTGCCCACCATGAGGAGTGTGATGGCAGCGCTGTAGCTCACACTGAGCAGGAAGAGTGTGGCGAAGATGCAGAGGCCAGTCCACGTCCACAGCACCTCACTCTCGGCCTCCTCCACGCACAGGTCCAGCTCTGGGAGACCTGGCCAGTCAGCCCTCCCGGCTCCACAGTGGCAGTGGTGGTCAGGCACAGAGCCCCTTGCTGCTCTCGGCAGCCCTTGCTGCTGTTCGGAGTGGCAGAGTACCCTATCCGGGGCCCTCTGGGACTGCGCAGAGCCGCCTGCCAACCCTGAGGGTGGGGACCCAGGTCCCGAGTCAGTCAACAGCCCAGGACCAGGCTGACCACTCCTGACCTCTCGTCTGTGGGACCCACTCTGGCCCCATTTTCCCTCTGTTCCTTATGGCTTCTCTGGTTACCTCTACTCCACCTCTCTCTAGACCCCACCCCTCCCCTCCCCCAGAGAAGGACCCAGCCCCTTGGCACAGGAGTGGCCCCCTCACTCAGGGCTCTCGGAAGGATGCGTGAGCTCTGCAGCCTGGCTCCCAAGACCTGGGACTCACTGCATGGGTGCTCTAAGGGGCTGTCCTGGTGTAGACTATGAGCCCAGGCCTGTGGGAGTCCAGAACGGCCTCCTGGCCCTACCCTGGCCCGGCCCCGCCTACCAGCCTGGTCCCTCTGGATCCTCTTGCCCTGGGTCCCCTCCA